GCGCGGGGGACGGGAGCGGCGGTGGAGACCCCGCGCGGCGCACAGCGCGCTCCTCCGACGGCCCAGCGCCTCCACGAGGGCTGACTTTTTGCTTCGCTGTTTTTGAGGCGGGGTCTGGCCTTGAGCTCACTTTGTAGCCCAGGCTGGCCTCCAACTTGCTGCGGGATCCTCCTGCCTCAGCCTCCCGATTGCTGGGCGCACCGGCGTGCGCCTCATGCCCGGCCCCTTCTTTTTTGTGGAGGGGTTCTTTTGGAGACAGGGTCTCGCTATGCAGTTCAGGCTGGCCTTGAGCTCACTTTGTAGCCCAGGCTGCTCTCGAACTCCTAACGATCCTCCTGCTTCAGCCTCCCGAGTGCTGGGATTACAGGCGTGCGCCACCGCGACCTTACAGGGGTCTTTTCTGTTTGTTCGTTTGTTTGGTACAGGGAATTGAACTCAGGACCTTGCACTTGGCCAGGTAGGCGCTTATGCCACTGAGCTCTATCGCTGTCTCCTTATGGGGGGCGGCGGGGTGGGGGGGTGTCACAGGTAGAAATTACCCTGTGATTTTTCAAGTGGGCCGACGTGGGCTCAGGCTGGTTGAGAGTGATCTATTATGGTAGTGGCTGAAACCGAAAGCTGGAATCTGCCGTAGATTTCCTGTACTCATCACGTAAAGACATGGGCTCACCCAGAACCTTACATTCCAGGGGATTTGGATATATTAGCTGAAAGATGACCAAAATAAAAAATGTCGCCTGATACATGGTGGGGAGCTAGGCTGGGACTGTATCTAAGTTTTGTTTTCCTTAAAGCAGCAGTTCACACAGTGGTGTGTTCCCTAGGCGAGCAGCATCATTTGGGAACGAATCTCAGCTACTCTGAAGGCCAAAGCAGGTCAGAGGTTTGAGACTAACCTGGGCAATTTACACCTTGTCTCAAAATTTAAAAGGGTTTTTTGTTGTTGTTTTTGCGGTACTGGGAATCGAACTCAGTACCTTGCTCTTTCCATGCAGGCGCTTGTGCCACTGAGGTATATCATCAGCCTTTTTTCCTTAAGACCAGGATATTATGTATTTCAGACTGATTGTGAATTTGCAGTGATCCTCCTGCCTCAGCCTCCTGAGTGCTTGGATTACAGGTGTGTGCTACCACACTCAGCACAAAATAAAAATGTTTTAACTAAATAGGAGAAAAAGAAAATGTGGAGCTGGTGGTGTTGCTCAGTGGTGCTTACCTAACTTGTGCTAGGTTGAGTCCGCGCTACTGAAAAGAAAAAAAAAAGGAAAGAAAACCAGACCTCAATCAGAAACTGGAGATGTGGTCCGACAAGCTTTTACCCCAACTTTCAGGTGTAGGTGATAGAAGCTAAGGCTTAAAGTCTGTTTCCTTATAGCAATAAAGGGCATTGAGTTCCTCTAAGTGGATAAGTGAAAAGGTCGTGTTTGTATTTGAAAATACCAGTTTAGCTACAGGTTCAGTAATTGGTTGGAGGCCCCGCTGTATATCCAGGTGGTAGACGTGGTTAGTTTGCAGTAGAGAAAGCAGTGACGGTGCCTACAGAGCTCTTCTATTCCTGTGCTGGCCTGATTCTGAGAGGTGGAGAAGACTGATTTGCCTGTGTGCTAGGGAAGGGGCAGCACTTAGTGCCTGGAGTATCTGTGATGTCTCTTACACGGTGCTAGAGCCCTTTTTTTGTACATATAAAAGGTATGTATTTTTGTGGCTTTTTTTTTGTTTTTTGGGGTTTTGTTTTTTTTTTTTCCTTTTTTTAGAGACAAAGTCTCGTTCTGCAGTTCAGGCTGGCCTTGAGCTCACTTTGTAGCCCAGGCTGGTTTTGAACTCACAAAGATCCTCCTGCCTCAGCCTCCTGAGTGCTGGGACTACAGGTGTGCACCACCACACCCGACTTCCTGTGTATACTTTGAATCATCTAGATTACTTAAAATAATTGAACGTAGAGCTGGGTGTGGTGGCGCACGTCTGTAATCCCAGCACTTGGAAGGCTGAGGCAGGAGGATCGCTGAGAGTTCGAGACTAGCCTGGGCTACAAAGTGAGTTCAAGGTCAGCCTGAACTGCACAGTGAGACCCTGTCTCAAAAAGACCAAAAAAAAAAAAAAAAAATTGAACGTAATGCCACATAAATTGTATGTAAATCATTGTTGTGCTGTATTACTTAGGACATAATGTGCAAAAAAAAATCTATTCACTAAGAGTGCTTTTTCCCCCCAATGTTTTCAGTCCTAGGTTGTTTGGATCTCCACATTCTGTTCCTGAAGACACGGAGGACTAACTGTACGCATTTGGCAAGGTGTGTGAGTTCTCAGGTTGTATGACACAGTCTTGTAAAACTTTATTGTGCATGTGTGAAATACCGGGGATTGTGACATATCACGTAATGTTTCAATATGTTTATACTTTGGTGCGTAAGAAACAAAAGAAAACTCCAGTTTGGCCAAGTGCATGTGACTAGTTGGGTGGCTCGGGTGGAGGAACCGCAGCCTCCCAGCTCTCAATTTGTATCCTCACTGTTGACATTGCCAAAGTGAACCAGCCCATTTTTCTGCTTCAACATAAGTGGTATAGACATAGAGGGATGGACCCAGTGCTGTGAGAATAAAGAGACCGGGCAGTGCCGCTAATTATTATGCCAGAGACTGCCAAGTAGTATGAAGAGTGGGCAAGCACTTTCAGATTTCTTGTAGGTTCAGCTTGTACAACGTCAGTCCAGGATAGTAACTCCTGGCTTGTGGAGTTATTCTGGTGGTTCATTTAAATCTGTAACTGCGTGGGAAATCATAGCATAGTGCCTGATGCATAGTGAGCTGTACTAGCGAGCACTTCCTTGGCCTTGGTGTCCAAAAAGAGCTAAAGTGAGTGAGGAAAGAAGGAAGGAATAGTCTCAGCAGTAAGTAGTTTATGCAGGAGGAGAGCATGCTGCCTTGTTTTAAAAGCCAAGTGCGTTAGGGGTTCATTCTCAGATGAAGATGATGAAATACAAAGGGCTTTGCATGGTAAGAGGGCGAAATTCTGTCTGTCTTACGCGGCGTTATTGACTGATAGGTTGATTTGGGTTTTTTTGTGACAGGGTCTCACTATTCAGGCTGACTTTGGACTCTGTGTAGCCCAAGCTGGCCTGGAACTTTCGGTCTTCAATCAGCTGGAGTGCTGGGGTTACAAGCATGTGCTGTTAGTACCTGCAGGCTTTTTACTTTGAAACTGATTAAATCTTTACTGTCATTAAAATCTGTCAATGCAGTCGGGCATGGTGGCACATGCCTACAATACCAGGCACTCCAGAGGCCAATGCAGGAAGATCTCAAATTCAAGGGTACCTTGAGCAAGTTAATGAAACTGTCTCAAAATAAAATTTTAAAAAGTTGAGGATGTAGCTGATGTAGTGCTTCCCTGGCAAGTGTGGGGCCCCGAGTTAAATTACGAAGAAGTAGGCTGGGCCTGGTGGTACATGCTTATAATTCCGCACTTGAGGGCCAAGGCAGGAGAATTGGCCTGAGTTCAAGGCCAGCCTGAAGTACATAGTCAAAAATAAAATATAAAGAAGCAGTAGGCACATCTAGAACTTAGATAATATACAAGAGAAGGGTAGAGAAAAAGATTTAAAAGAAACAATAAACAGTGTCAGGTGTGGTGGCACATAGCACACCTGTTCAGTAGGCTGAGGCAGGAGCATCTCATGAATTGCATGGTGAGACAATCAGTGAATCAGTAAATAAATAAAAACAGTAAGAAACATGCAGTATGTAGACCTTGTGTGGACCCATATTCCAGTGTATCTAACAGAAGCCACCTCTGGCCAAGAAAGTAGCCCCATGTTAACTACCATTGGTGTACTATTTTAGTATCAAAAAGTTATTTTTAGTATGAAAAGATTATTTTGTAGGTTAAAGAAATGAGATTTAAGATACTTGCATCTTCACACAGTAAGTAGTTGAACCGGGATTCAAACCTGAGATCTTCATAGTGTTAGGGTTTTCTGTGTCACTGGGGATTGCGCCCAAGAGCTCATGAGTGCCAGGCGTGTGCTCTGACACAAAGCCACATCCCCAGCTCAGTGTATTTCATTTTGAGAGGGTTGCCCCAGGGTGCCCGGCTGGGCTCAGGCTTGCAGCCCTCCTGACTCAGCCTCCTGAGCACACAGGATCATGGGTGTTACCGCTGCACCGGCACTGCTTCCCCTCCCCTGCTGCTGTGACAGCTTTTGCCTGTACAGTCCAAGACATAGTCAAGCCTTGAGTTTGGGTATAACTTACACTGGAAAGCTTCCTCTACCATCACAGCTTTTTGTTTTATCTTTTGCTGACATGAAGGAACAGGCTTTGTAGTAAAAGAACTTTTCGATCACCAAGACAGCCCATTTCACTTGTCAAAACTGTGCATGGTATCATTCATTGTAAGGAGGAGGAAAGAACACAAAGAGTTGAGAAAATGTTTAGTAATAGCAAAGTCTAGTGTACACACTATTAACCTTGCCAGTCTGGAAGGCTGAGGCAGGAAAATTGCAAGTCTGGGGCCAGCCAGGGCAGCTTTGACACAGCAGGGACCCTTTTATATTTGTCAAAATATAAAAGGAAAAACAGGCTGGGGATATAACTCAGCAGCACAGCATTTACCTGGCAAACGTAAGGTTGTGACTTCGATTCCCGGTACCAAAAAGAAAAGAAAAACAGAAAGTGCTGAGGCTATAGCTCAGTGAGAAGGCCCTGGGTTCAATCCCCAGTGCTGGAGGAAATGTCCAAAGAGAGAGGAAGGGAAAGAATATTGCATTCGCGTTTAGATGGCTTGCAAGCTGGATGGAGGAACTCCGTTTGCTTGAACATCTTCTGGTCGGATTCACCAATTGTTACCCTTCTGCTACATTTGTGCTGTGTGCATGCGTGTGTGTATTTGTGTCTTTTTGCTTGTTTGTTTTTTAAAATAGGATCTCCCTCTGTAATTCAGGCTGTCCTTGAGCTCACTTTGTAGCCCAGGCTGGCCTCAACTCATGATGACCTCCTGCTGTCAGCTGGGAATACAGGTGTGTGCCACCACGCCTGGTATATTTTCATTGTTTTTTTTTTTTGTTGTTGTTTGTTTGTTTGTTTGGGTCTTTTTGAGACGGTCTCGCTATGCAGTTCAGCCTGGCCTTGAGCTCACTTTGTAGCCGAGGCTGGCCTCAAGCTTGCAGTGATCCTCCTGCCTCAGCCTCCTGAGTGCTGGGATTACAGGTGTGCGCCACCACGCCCGGCCCATATTTTCACTGTCGAACATCGTGAAAGTGAATTGCGGCCAAAAGGTGGTGTTGCTCTGTGCTTCACTGTGTATCTCCTAAGAACATTTTATTTTTATTTATTTATTTATTTTTTTTGGTACTGAGAGTTGAACTTGGGGCCTCGCATTTGCCAGGCAGGGGCTTGTACTGCTGAGCTGTATCACCGGCCCAAATATTTTATTTTTTGTCTATGGTGATTTTATCGTACCTAATTTAACAGTCAAGATTGTGACTGTGGGGTGAATGTTTTAATACATTAGTGGTTATAGAATCAGCATTTAACTGAAATGCCTTTCTCACACAGGGAGGCTTCCTTGCTTGGACCCGGGGTTGCTGTCTTGAATAAGAAGGCTGTGACCCTGACCTCAGATGACCAAACGGAAGAGCAGCCGCCCAGCTGATGCCTCTGACGAGAAGTAGGCTGTAGGCTCCAGAGTGTTGCTAGGTGCAGGCTTCGAAGCTCAGGCGCAGCAGGCTGAACAGGCTTGCAAAGGCCAGGAGAGCTGAGCGCTGGTTGGTGTTGGAGGGGGCCGAGGAGAGCACCCCTCCTGCTCCTGCTCTGAAGCCAGGCTTGTACAGAAACATTTCCTTGCGTGCTGCCAAGTTCCAGCGCCATGGATCTGGCGGCAGCTTTGGCAGACCTCCAGGCGGAGGCTAGCTGCCCCATCTGCCTAGGGTACCTGAAAAACCCGGTGACAATCTACTGCGGGCATAACTTCTGCCTCGCCTGCATCAGCGAGTCCTGGAAGGATCTGCAGGGCCGTTTCCCCTGCCCTTCTTGCCATCATCTCTGTCCAGAGAAGAAGTTCCAGAACAATTTCCAGCTGGGGAGTTTGACCGAAATGGCGAAACTGCTGCCACTGAGAAGGAGTAAGAGGAAGAGGCAGGAAGACAGCATCGTGTGTGAGAAGCACAAGCAGGTTCTGACCGTCTTCTGCCAGAAGGACATGGAGGTCCTGTGTCCGCAGTGCAGCTTCTCTGCTGACCACCAGCAGCACTACATCTGGCCCATCGAGAAGGCTGCGGTCTATCACAGGGAACGGCTGGAGCGTGAAATCGAGCTCTGGCAGGAGAGAGTGGAACAAGTTGAGAAGGTGATTACTATGCAGACTGGAAAGTCCGTGGAACTCAAGAAAAGGGTAGAGCATAGGAGAGAAGAAATAAAGTCTGAGTTCGAGCAGTTTATGCTGTTCCTTCAAAACGAGCAAGAGGCTGTGCTCAGGCAGTTACAAGACGAAGAGAGGGAGATTTTAGGAAAGCTAAATGCAAACCTGGCAGACGCTTCAGATCACGCCTCTGCGTCCAGGGGCCTGTTACGGGAGATCGAGAGCAAGTACGTGAAGTCGGAGGTTGAACTGCTGGCAAGCGTGAAGAGTATCTACCACAGATACAAGAATCTAAAGTGCCCGGAGATGTTCTCGTTCCAGTTCAAGGAGTACAGTTACCGGCTCCCTCCGCAGTACTCCGGACTCAGCAGGATTGTCAAGCAGTTTCACGTGGACGTAGTCCTAGATCCTGAAACAGCACATCGCAAACTTATCATCTCAGAAGACAGGAAGAGCGTGCGTTACGGAAATACGCAGAAATTGCCTCACAGCCCGGAAAAGTTTTACCTCTGGCCAGCCGTGCTAGGCGCCTCGGCGTACAGCTCCGGCAGGCAGTACTGGGAGGTGGAGGTGCGAAACAAGCCCGAGTGGATCCTGGGCGTCTGCAGCGAGGCTCTGCCCCGGAGGAAGAAGAACCACAGTCAGCCCTTTCTGGTGAAGGACGGGCTGTGGGGCATCGGGCGGTGCAGCAGCACCCGTTACGTTGTGGTCGGCCCGAAGAAAATTAGTCTTCTGCCCAAAGTCCTGCCGACTAAGATTGGCGTTTTCTTAGACTCGGAGATGGGTGAGGTGTCCTTTTACAATCTGAGTGATAGATCTCTCCTGTATACTTTCAGTGATTATTTCCGAGGAGCTCTCTGGCCTTACTTCTACACTGGAACTGAGTCCCGACCCCTTAGAATCTGTACGGTAACAGAAGCTGAAGGATGAGCTATTGGAAGTCTGCTTTTCTCAGCTAGTGAACGTAATGAGCCAGGTATCAAGCCGTTTCAAGTAGATGTAGTCAGTGGGGTTTTTTTTAGTTTTCACTGTAATATGTGTGTCTGTTTGAGCAGTTCTAAAAAAACATAGTACCTACTTGTAGATGAATCAAGGGGGTCCTCCTAGTTCTCAGATAACATGCTTGGGAAATGTATTTGTTAACTGAAAGTATTACTTCAGTAGTTGCCAATAAAACTACATTCACATGTTTCTGTATCACCTTATTTTTCTTTCAAGAACGAAGCCTGGGGGGCTGGGGATTTAGCTCAGTGGCAAAGCGCCTGCCTCGCAAGCGCAAGGTCGTGAGTTCGGTTCCCGGTACCGGAGAAAAACCAAAAAAAAAACCAAACAAACAAGAACGAAGCCTGTAGTAAAGAGAAGCATTCCTGGACATCGGCTGTTTAAAGATGGTCCTTTCCGCTTTCATCTGCTTAACCATGCATTTCTTAGTACTTTTTTTCGCGCTGGGCGTTGGCCCCAGGGCTGCGTGCGCGCTTGGCAGACCCTCTCCCGTTACGTTAGGCTGCGGCCCAGCCCTGCGTAACGCTTTGACTGTGTTGCCTGCGCTGACCAGGTGGCGGCGCTGTTCCCGCCTCCCTCGGTCCTGCGCATGCTCCATTTGGACAGCGTGCGCTCTGCCGCTGTTCCGATGTCATCCTTCGTGCGTTTTAGGGCCAGATCTTGCCTCATAATCTTTAACTTAGTTCCACGTTTTCCTCGGGTTTTCTCTGTAAATGCAGGGATTCACGTCTCTGCAAGTCCGAGACCAAAGAGCACCGCCCTTTGGGTTTGGAATTGTCATTTACATTAATTTGAGAACGGCTGAGGTCTTTTTAACTCTTCCCAGCACTTGGAGTTGAACCCAGTGGGAATCTCCTACTGAGTCGCATCCCTTTTAACTTTGAGACAGGGCCACTAAATTGGCTTTTTGAGCTGTCCTTGCCTTCAAGCAGCTGAGACAAGCCGGTGTTCCAATGCCTGAGTTAAGTGTATACTTTCTGAAGTTTCACTTAAATTTCCTTATTGGCTGCCTCAAGTGGCCAGCCTGTGGTTTGATAGATTTCTTCTTTTGTTGCATTTTTGAGACAGCCTCTATTTAATGCAGGCTGACCTTGAGCTTAACTATGTAACCCAGGGTGTCCTCTAACAATGATCCTCCTGCTTCAGCCTCCTGAAAATTAGAGGGATGACAGGTGTGCGCCACTGTGCCTGAGAGGTGGGTATCTAAACAGCTAGTTTTTGTTTATTTGTGAGTCTTACTAGTTCAGGCCAACCTTGAACCACACAGTAATCCTCCTGCCTCAGCCTCCTGGACACTGGGATTACGGGTGTGTGCACCATGCTCATTTCTTAGGTTTTTTTCATCACAGATACAGGTCTGTAGCAGAGCACTTGCTTAGCATGTGTGAGGACCAGGGCTCAGTACTGTAAAAGTGTCAGTCCTGGGCTAGGGATGTCTCCGTGATAGAGTGTCTAATGTATGAGGCTCTAGTTTGACCCTCAGCAACACAGGAAATCTTAATATGCCAAACGAGGGTTGGTGGTGGTGGTGTATGCCTGCGATCCCAGCGCTCAGGAGGCTGGGGTGAGGATCACAAGTGTGAGGCCAGCCTGGGCAAATTAGCGAGATGCTATCAAAAAAAAACCCTGGGGCACGTAGCTCGGGATTGAGAGCTTGAGTTCAGGCCCCGATATAGCAAGAAGAAAAATCCTTGCAAATGTGCTTTGTTCCCTGGCACAGCTTTTTTTTTGAGACAAGGTCTCGTTATGGAGTTCAGACTGGCTTTGAGCTCACTCTGTAGCCCAGGCTGGTCTCGCAACGATCCTCCTGCCTCAGCCTCCTAGTACTGGGATTGCAGGCGTGCGCCACCACGCCCGGCTCCAGGGCACAGCTTCAGCACCCCGGCAGCTGCGTCCCCGCTAGGGACAGGCGGCCTGCGTTATCCACAGCCCCTCATTTCAAGTCACCGGTGGACGCTCGCTTCCTCACAGGTGTCCGAGCACTGGCCATTGCATGGCCCTGGGCTCCTCCCCAGGACACCGCTCCCTGCAAGACAATAAGCTGGGCCTGGTGGCTGGGGTCCCCAGACGGGGCTGAGGCCGGACGAGCGCCAGCTTCCGCCCAGTCGGGGCAACTAGGCAACTTCGCGAGACTCTGGCTCCAGATAAAAGGGCTGGGAGCGCCGAAGATGAAAGGACATCAGCACCGTAAACCGGGGCAGGAGCCCTCAGAGCGGGGCGGGATGAGCCCTGGGCTCACTGTCGCCCAGGGCAGCGAAGGCCCCGGCGGAACGCCGAGCCTGTTCCCAGCCGCGAGGCTGCCCGGCCCGCCAGCCCGGAGCGGGCGCCTCCGGACTCCCGCGGGTGGGGCCCGGCGCGGTCTTCGGCCGGCGGCGGGGACCAGGATCTGCGGATGCACGGGGCGGGGCGTCGAGGCCCCGCCCACGGTGGGCGTGTCGGGAGGCAGTGACTGGCTGTCCGAGGCCCGGTGGGCGGGGCGCGGCGTGGGTCCTCGGCGCCCAGCGAATCCTCTGAGAGCGCTGTCACTCGGACCTTGCCGGTGGGGACCCTGCAGGTCTGAAGGCTGCGTGGGCCCTGGTGTCCCCCCAGGTGTGTCGCCCTGCAGCCCGCGGTGACCACTTCCGCGCCGTCTCCAGGCTGTGCAACCAGGGTGGACAGGGATACCCGGACTCCAAACAGCAGGAACCCTGGGCTGCCGCTGGTCCCTCCTCAGAGCTGTGTCCCCGCGATGCTGCGGGACCCCCGCTCCTTGCAGCCCCACCTCCCCATCCTGAGCGCCCCCAGGTCCTCAGCCCAAGTCACCCCCGCTGCAGCCTCCCGCTGACTCCCGTGTCCCCTACACGGTGCCTCTTCTCCAGTCACAAGGATGCTACTTTCAGCACTGAGGGCTGAGCCCGGGCCTCGGCACGGGGCTACATCCTAGCCCTATTCTATTTATCCTGCGACAGGGTCAAGTTAAATCCCTAGCTGCCTCTGCGGGGCTTGAACTTCTGATCCTCCTGCCTCAACCTCCACAGCGCTGGGATTACAGAACCATGCCCGGCTGACACCACGATTTTAATCATGTTCCATAAGACAGTGAAACAGTTGTCATTCACTGCTCCTGGAAAGAGACAAAATCCTTTGGTTTTTTTTGTTTGTTTGTTTTTAGATTGGGCTCATGGCCGGGGATATAGCTCAGCGGTACAGGGCTTACCTGGCAAGCACAAGGTCCTGAGTTCAATTCCTGACACACACACACACACACACATACACACAAAGTGCTCACTACATAATTCATGCTGTCCTTGAACTATGTAGCCCAGGCTGGCTTCAAATTCAGAGATCCTCCAGCCTCAAGTGTCCTGAGTGCTGGGATTACAGGTGTGCCTCACTACGCCTAACAAAATCTCCACCATCCCCCTCAAATGTCTCCACATCCACCTTTCTGCTCGTCTTCTTCACAGGGAACACAAAGGCCCTCCTGTGAGACCTTTCACAGGTAGTTTCGTGCACTCTTTATTGTTTCTTCTTATCTAATGAGTACTTTCCTCGGGACGCATCCTTTTATTTTATACATTTACATTCACTGGGTGTGGTGGTGCACCCCTGTAATCCCAGCACTCAGGAGGCTGAGGCAGGAGGATCGCTGTGAGTTCGAGACCAGCCTGGGCTACAAAGTGAGCTCAAGGCCGGCCTGAACTGCATAGTGAGACTCTGTCTCAAAAAGGCAAAAAAAAAAAAAAAAGATTACATTCATTGTGGTCCATTACCCGTCTTACCACCCCCATCTCTTGGTCCCCTTCTCTCTTGCAAAAGGAGAGCATTCTCTGAAGGTGTAATTGAAGTGTAGAATTCTGGAAAGCCCATTTAGTTTTGAAGATTGCTCAAGCCTGCTGCCGTGAGCACGACTGTAATCCCAGCACTCGGGAGGCTGAGGCAGGAGGATTGCCATGAGTCAATACCAGCCTGCATTACATAAAGAGAGCCTGTTTCAAAGAGAAAGGGGGAGAGAGAGTGTGTGTGAGAGAGGGAGAGAGACACGGAGGGAGAAAGAGATTTCTCATTAAGTGAATTGATTTATATATATATATATATATATCTTTTGAGACGGGGTGTTGCTATGCAGTTCAGACTGGACTTAAGCTCACGTTGTAGCCCAGGCTGGCCTCAAACTCATAACGATCCTCCTGCCTCAGCCTCCCGAGTGCTGAGATTACAGGCAGGCACCACCATGCCCAGCATTCATGGAATCTATTAATTGATGACTAAAAATTAATCTTTTTTGGCAGCCTGGGGTTGCTACATTTTCAGCACTTATTTACTTATTCTTTTTTATTTTTTAAACAGGATCTCACTATGTTGCTAAACTCCAGGGCTGTGCTTGAATTTGAGATCATCCTGCCTCAGCCTCCCAGAGTACATTACTAGGATGACAAGTGTGCCCTACCTCACCCAGCTCCTTTGTTTTTTGGGAGAGGGTCTTGCTAAATCACTACATTGCTAGACTGGAACGTTTAGGCCACCTGCCTCAGTCTCCCAGATTGCTGGGGTTAGCCCTGCACTACCACGCCCTACATGATAAGCGAGAGCTCGCACCTTCCCTTCCCCGTGCCTCCCTGGACCCTGGGGCCGTGGCAGCTGCCCCTGTCCTCAGCGAAGGTCCCTGGGGCCATCACCTCCTGCATCACGAGGACAGAGCGTCCTCCTCCAAGAAGCTCCCGGCATGGGCAGGGCCGACTCTGGTCCCACAAGGAGCTGTCCTGTGTCCCCTGGAGGGGGGACACCGCGCGGCAGTCCGTGGGGAGCCCGCGGGCTCCGCGTTTCGGACGTCACGCGTTCCCCTCCTGGACTTGTGCAACCAAAAACATGACCAAGTGACCGGAGACCGAAGTGCAACATAAAACTCGCCAGTCACCTTCTCAGCCGCGCCGAGGACAGGAGGCTCTAGGCGCGTCTCCAAGAGGTGCGGGGAAGAGTGACCGAGAAAAAGAACCCTCAGGTCTCTCCCAGGAATTCGGGCGCAGCCTCCTTCTGCTCCTTTTTCTGGGACGCAGTCTGGGGCAGTGGTGGCGAACCCTCCGCCCGCGCCCCGAAGCAGGCTCGCAGCAGAGCCCTCTCTGTCGGCGCGGGCCGAGTCCCCCAGACCTTGAAAGTGGGCAGCAAAAATATCTCCCACACCCAAAACGCACTTGGAAAATTCGGC